CGATGTTTTCCCTCGCGGCAAGTAAAACGATCAAAATATCAAACTAGCGAACGCGTTTTCACCAACAACGGGACCAGTTTATCGCTTAACTCGAACCAGAGAGCGTCTACCAACCAGCAGTGCCAGTGAAAACGGGGAGACTGATCTCTCGAAACCGAGTACCAGACTATCGTTTCCGGCATTGCCGACTATCCTACGTTTCGAAACTTTCTCCGATTGCGGCAGTAAACGCGTCGAGTCACTCCAGAAGCCACCGGAGGAATCGTTCTAGGCTAGTGACCTGCACGTGAACGCAACACACCTTTCAGGCCTATGTACTTACGTATAGGTGCGCGCGTTCTAAATCGACAACGACGACCAGATAACTCGTAATTTCTCGATAGACCGATAGAAAGCAAGATGTTAATAGAACAGCCGATAGACGCAAAATTGTTCGATCGCCGGACGTTTTCGAGGAGAAAGATTACTCTGTCCTCGATCGGTGTCTCTATCGAAACGCTTCGCCAGAATATGCTGCATAATCGAAGAAAGTTTCAGCGAGTCTGCTATTAACATTCTGACTGCCACGTCATTCGTATCTCGATGACGCACGAATTTCTGCAGAAGCTTGTCACCTACGAGTTGACATTATTCGCTGTATTAAGCGTCCGCAGAAGATACGACTAGTAGAAAGAACCAAATAAGGCAATGAAAATAAGAGATTAGATTCGTCGAGATTTCGAGATGAAATATGAGCGAGGTTCGGTTAACTCGAAGCAACGCTGAACAGGCTCGAAAATCGAATATCTTTTCTAAAATGAACATTTCATTTCCGCCAAGTACCATCTCGGTCGACCATCGAGGCCATTCGGAAGAGTATCCCATACAGGAGAGACGCTTAACAAGGTCGTTTGATCGAAGTTCAGCATCGCCCACGATGCAAAAGCGAAAGAAACGGAAGCTCGCGTTCGAGGACGAGGACGAAGAAGCTGACAAAAGCCTCGCGCCCCTTTTCTCCGAGGAAGGACTGGCTTCGTTACCGGACCTTCTTTTTGCCCCATTCCTAGACCGATCCAACTACGAAGACCGGGAAGGTTAAAGACCTTATCCGCGAACCAGTTTCGATCGGAGAAAACTCGCCGTGGAGACGAACACGTCCGCGTGCACCGGTTATTGCACGCGCGGATACCGAGAGAAGGCTCGCGGATCGTCCAATCCGCGCGACTACGACCGATAACTCTTTCTATCTGAATCTTCTATTTTAGTCTTAGTCGGTCGACTACGAATTCTTTCTGAACACCTTCGGTGGATAATGGAAATTTAACTCTCCCGCTACGTGTCTATACGATGTTGTCCAAGTCACCGTGCTATCATGCATAAGATAATTTTGCGAGGAAAATGTTCGTAAAGTCCGGACGAACCAAGTAATCGATAGTTTCATTATGACGTCGAACGTGTATCCGTTCTCCAGAGCTTTTCGGTCCCTGACATTTCAAAGCCAGTCGGTTCTCTTTCTCTCGGATACGAGGCAGGCGCCTGTAGGGCGCGCCTAAACCAGGTCGACGCGATATATGTAACTCTTCCCTCTTGGTTTCCTGCTGCCTAGCGCGATGTAAATTGCACACGCGTGTCACCGTATGTGCGTAATAAAGCGGCAGAAATTCATGAAAATGTCGCTTTTCCCTCCGAGAACAGACCGAATCCGCGCCCGATTCCTGTTGCTTAACCTGTTTCACTCTTTCGCCATTTACGATATTTGTAAGTTAAAAAGAAATTTCGTTTTATAATCGCGCCATAACTAAGAATGGGCGATCTCGAGATTTTGTTGGCGTGCTTCCTGTCTGTTGTTACACTAGTCTAACCGCGTGTAATGCGTAACACATTGGCTTGAACGTGGCCGAGTTGAGCCGCGAAGGAACAAGAGAGAGGAGGCGTTAATGCGTTCCGACGCGAGGAATTGTGCAACTCATTGTCCGAACGCAACACCAAACAAGATGAAAATCTAATTTCTGTTCAACATTTCGTTCATGGCCACGTTCGATATTTCGATAGTACCGATCGAAAGAAAAATAATTTCGAAGATAATCGCTCTAAGTCGACTCAACAATTATTTACTCCGTTCGCGTCAATATTTGAACAAGTAACTTTAAATTGAAATTACCGCTAAAGCGACAGATCGAAATGGCCGTGGAATCCCTCTTTCGTGGATGCTGCGAGTAAATGCCATAGATAAATCCTGTTTTTAACGTGGGTGGTGATTTTTACAAGATGATGTACCTGCAGTCTTATAAGGCACGCTCGAACCGGTCCTAAGAAAATGCGATACAACGGTTGGAATGCACCGGAAAAGCTTTCAATCGTTAGAATCGAGTTAGTCGTCGAAGAATTCACAGAAAAAGGAACTGAACGAACCCCAAGATCTCTGTCAATTGTACACTACCGTTCAAAAAGATTTCAAGTATTTACTACATTTTATGCACATGTAAACAATAGTTTAAGAATACGTGATTTTATGATAAAGTTGACTGAAACTTTTTATAAAATATCAGAGGTTAGTTAAAAGTGGCAAGTACCCCGATGCTTTGGTCGGTACTGTACAAGCACAACTATTTGTCTAAGAAATACCTGACAGTCACTCCATTTGCTCCTCGCTTCGAACTTTGATGGGTAAAAAATAGTATACTACGATTGATTTGAAACGCTTCACATTCCGCCAGAAGTTTTCGAAAAAAGGATCATCTTGCAATATAAAACGCGAAAATTGAAATAATCGTTGTATAACATATCCTAAACATAACTGCGGTTTACGAATCGAAATAGTTAAAAAAAAAAGTAATCTAGTCGAATTGATACGTCAGAAAATGATGTCTCGATGTTCGATTTTTTTTTCATGATGGCGGTGTTACGAAAGTCGATGAAAGGAATGCACGCGTCGTATTACGCTCGCCCAAACAGCGTTACCGATAATGATCGTTATTGTGCATGAGAATTTCTCACTTACTCCGGCGAGCTTCGCAATAACCGCCAATAACGCAACAACAATGTGGATACATAACGAGCTGGCGTTGCATGTACAAGGGAAACCGTAAACATTGTTAGACTGACGAAACGCGCTTGAGAAAGGAACTCTGTCGTCTATAGACAAATTTTTTGTTGACGATTCACGGTAAAGAAGGAAACGTTTGTAACGTCGAATAAGACGGTTCGGTTTAAAATAAGCTCTCGAGACAACTCCTTCTTAACGAGGTTTAACGTTCTTTCCGAAAATGTCGAAATCATTGGTCGAGTAAATGAACTTCGAGGACGCTCCGATTTAAATGTCAAATGAATACTATTCGTCGTCGCGTTATGTTACAATAAGAAAAGATCAGAAATGATCAAATAAATTAATACGTAAGTCACAAGTGGTAAAAGAATCCTAGGATCAATTTTCGACTTTAATGGTTCCGAAAGCTGAGAAAGTGCTCCCTGACGTCGTAGAAGCATGTTCGAAATTTTACGTGACGTCACGATACAGTACAATAAATATACATATATATATATATATATGTCATACGGTTAGATATGTTATCCGCATACGTTGCATCCGAAAAGAGAAAAAGGATTCTTGTATTGCTAACGAATTACAAAACGCGAAATTATATTAACACGGAGACAAAGAAACGGCACGTAATTACGTCAACGTTAAAATCCTACAACGTCAGTCGATGCATGCTTCTGTGTAGCCAACAAGTGGCTACGGATCGATCATCACGTGGAACGTAAATTCCAATACACACTATTGACAACGTGTACAAAAGTCATGCAAACTTACCTTGGAAACAAAACTCGGATAGCCGCGACAATTGTTTTCGATGCCTTCCAGTTCGTTGAATTTCGGTCTCGTTCTGGATGCAAAATAAGCCGTGTACACAAAGTTAAACACACTTCTTGATAAATCGGTTAAAGTAATCAAACACAAAAATTGAACGTTTCACAAATCTAACACAGAAGGAAGAACACTTTAAATATTCTTTATCGCGACGCGTAAATGATTCATATACACGAACAATCTTGTTCCACGACGAAGGACGAAGACGACGACGGACGCAACTTCCGAAACGAAACGAGTAACGCACGCTCGACAGTTGGCGAGCGAATGAGGCTCTGTTTTCTACTGGTCCCACCAACCACCATGCAGGCCAATAACCTGCCAGCATATGCGTGAAGGTTTGAACAACCTTTCCTCTAAAGTCGATACTGTAGCGTACTTTATCGACGAACGATACGAAATGTACCATAAATAATCATTATTTATTATTAATTTAATAATAATTGCTAGCATTAGCGAATTTCAGCTGTGTATTCAAATCCCTATTATCCGTTAATATTACTGATGAATATCCTGTGGAATTGTATAAATATGGTAGCATTAAATGACAGCAAATTTTGTTATAGTTTTTAAATTTCTTATTTTATATTTGTAAGGTTTTGTTTAAGACATCGGAATTTGAGCGAACGCAAATTAAATAACATTTGTTACGTTTCAATAATGAAGTAAAAATTAAGTTTTTATTAAATCGCATCACTAAACACACGATTTCATTTCCAATCATTGTTATAATTAGGTAATTTGTGCTAATGGTTAACAGTAAAGAAGTTCTTTAAACATAATGCGATTTGATAGCTAATTCTTATTTTGATTACATAAATTTGTTTTCAAACAATACACCTAGATATGTTGATAATCCGTTCGTTTACCCTTCTTTTCATTCTCTGTGATATGTATCATGCCTGCTATACATAAATATAAATGACATGTATTTATGCTCGTGTAGCTTAAAAAATTAATTTTCCATTTTATGGGATACCATCGCATGTATTTATCTGTACCTTATTCATTTCTCAATTTCTCCGAAATGTACCTCCGGAAATAAAAAATTCGTCTAATTACAAAAATGACAAGGCAACTTTCGATAGCATAAAAAATTTCATTGGTATAAAAATTATAATACAATTATTATAAAAATAAAATGGTATACCATATTAGCATCTATTATACACATACATAAAATATATTTTTTTCACGTACTTTTCGTGCGTATATATGTATACACATCTAATTATGGCATGCAGTTCTGTGCTTTAATAGCTGTTAAGAATGTGTGTATATCGTCATCGTTTATTGTGATTTTTATGGGCAGAATTTTTATTACTATATACAAATATGTTAATAATCCATGTCAGCAGGTACAACGAGTACACTGTCGATAATTTAAATATAAATATGTTTACAAAAACGAAAAGAATTTATAGGAAACAATAAAAATATAATTCAATTTTAAAAATGTGAAATATAAACAATTACTTTAACAGCTTTTGTTAAAAAAAAAAACCATTAGAATCCATCAGATAAACAAAACAAGTTTGTAAAATACTACTTTCGGAAAAGCAGTTGCAATGTTCGTACGCTCATCGTATCTGCAACCATAAATACAATATTCCACTGTCCATGCAATTCGATATGCAATAACAAATAACTTATCATCTTAGTAAAAAAAAAAAACAATAAATTCAGGCACTTCGAAAATATATTACATGTTATTTGTTTAATACTTAAAATTAGAATATCTAAAAAATTCAGCGGTACCATACATTCCTAATTCGTTGTACGGTTAATAATAAAAAAAATGCCTTTCCCGCATCGAACGCGCGTAAAACCTACGTAAAAACGGTAACCGTACCTAAATATAATAATACTTACCCTTCTAATTAAAAATTCTATAACAGATTCTGATCTAACAAGTCTCGCAAAATTTTGCTCTTTTCGTCTCTTTATCGTTTTCTCTAACTATAACATTACATTTTTGGTCCATTGAATATTGCTCTTTTTCGGGCTTCAACTATCATATGCCATTGATCACGAAGATATTTAGACATCTTCGATTTAATAATAAGCATAAAAGTTTTTAAATCACTTGAAAAATCGCTAAGTACTGCGTAAGTATCGCAGTTTTATAATATCGTGAAGTGCTAGTAAATAATATTACTATACTCTACCTAAGAATTGTAATTCACTTTTCTTGTCCCCTTTTCGTTGTATTTTAACAGTTTAAAATATACGTTTTAAAGCTAGGCCAGTTCGTCCGTGCATTGTTTTCTCTCCTCTTCGACTCGTTGGCGAGTACGATTAAACGCCTCAGTTTTCAAAAAATCTACTGTTTTATATACTGTTGTACTAGGCGGAGACTGAGCTGGTGGTAAACTGGAAGATGAGAAATTTTCTGTTGCTTCCAAATCAAGATCTAAATATTGCAAAACGACAAGACGCTTTGAAGCAGGAATAAATGTATTTTGATCCTGATAATAGTATATCTGGAAAAAGAATACATTACAAAATTTAAACGTAATATCAATATCGTGTTGTACTACAAAGCAAAGTAATGTATTTTTAAATACCTCTTCTTTATCGTCAAAAATATTGTTATCTTCATCCGACGTTGATTGATGCCGATTTAAATGAACATGAACTGGAGGCGTAGGACTGGGGGCTGCTCTAATTCTTCCTCTTCCAGGTGGAGATGCTAATTGTAACGGCCCTGTAAAACGGTTTAATTTTACCTCAAATTTTCCACTAAAATTCACTGGTTGTTATCAAAAAGTACCAAAAATATCTGTACCTTCTACAGGAGATTTATTTAACGGAGGCTTCAGTTTTCTATTAATACTTGGTGGTTCAGCTGGAGAGTGTTCGGCAGAACTCATTTCCAAAGCCGAAGCTATCGGTCCCGGAGAAGCTTCGTTGCTTATGATCGACATAGAATCGCTAGTTTTTCTTCCTGGTTTTAATTCTCGATAAACAACCGGAGGTGGTGGTGCCACTGTTGTTGGTATCGTAGTTGAATTATCTCGAACAAGAGGACTCGGTAAATTTGAATACGTAGCGGTTGCCGAGCTTTCGGAACGAGGACTCGATGGTTCTTCTTCTTGAAAATCGTAACGGAATACGCGCGTATCTTCCACAGTACTAGGAGCAGCATTCGAATAAAAATGTTTAGACGACTGATCAGCTGGATTTATGTCAGGCGCTTGACCTGGTTGATGAGATCTTGGAAAATCGTATGATTCATCTGTTACAATTGCAGTCGCCGGTGTAGACGGTGCAGGAGTGGCTGGAGTGGTTGGTTTTGAGCTTTCGGTAGCACCATCTAAATTTAGGTAATTATGTCCAGGATTTTCAGGTAACATGTGAGGAGGTTTTGGTGGCCTAGGAGGTGCTGGTAACTTGTCTACGGATGGCGGCACAGCTGAATCAACGATCCTCAACTTTCCAAATCGTTTTCTGACGCTCCAAGAACCAATTTCTGCATCGCTAGGCGGTTGTTTAGATTCACCTATTATAAGATATTAAATTAAGTTAAGAGCACATGTAAAATAAAACCAAGCATTGGGAAATATTTACCCGAAGAAGGAAACGTTTCCCAATTAACACTAGGCACAGGAGCAGTCCATTCATCGTCGGTAAAAACACTTTCTGCGTCAGTCGTCGTAGGAGACCTAGGAGGAGAAGGAGCTAGTCGTCGTGGAGCATCATAATGCTCTGGTCCTTGTCCCAAAGCTGAATTCAGAGAACTAGTATCGTTTAAGCGTCGTCCAGAAATGCATTCGCTAATAGGAATGTAAGGACCAGAGATGGTGCTACTAGGTGAAATTGGAGGGGATTCCTGTGTTTCAAATTGGAACACTGCAAAATAATGTCAGTATTTTAAAATATTGGATATGGTAATCCTTGATAAATTTATATAGTAATAATTTATACTTTGACATTGCTGATCCTCATCTTGAGTGTATGCCTTTAAACCACAAACTTGACAAACTGCGTCTACCCACTTGTTCATATCAGCTTCGCTTTCTGCTACTAGATAATATGTCCTTTTCGGTGTTTTAACATTGAACATGTATTGATATTTCTGCTTTCTATTTTCAAATCTTAGGCCTGCATCTACCTATTAATGGTAATGAGTAAATTCATGTATGTATATCAGATGAAGTATAAAATTAAAAAATAAATTATGCTGAAAAGTTACCTGTTCACATTGATCAAGATCAATACGACCTTTCAATTTCCTACAACGTCTATCTGTATAATATTCTAAAAAATATTGTCCAGGTAATTCTCCACTATGTCGAAGAGCAAACCAACGTTTTCTCCATCGCTGAAAAAAAAAACTATTATTATTTGAGTAATAAAATACATCAATTATATTATTGTTCTACTCAAGCGAAAATACTTTATATATTCATGCTGTTGATTAAATTCAAATATGACATATCAAACATTGAACTTGAAAATGTAATAAAATGCTTATTAAAATACTACTGTTCTTGAACAAAAATATCAAAATATTTCTTATTCGGGAAACAATTATGATCGTCTTAGGTTAGAATTCATTAGAGTTGGAAAAAAAACACAGATACAGTAACTTTGACAAGCCTTTGAAAACGTAAACAATGAAAAGTTAATGATGGAATAGAACTTTAAATCTTGCCATCATTCTGTAAACTACTAACCGCTCGCCAGAGTTTTGTAGGTGGTGATTTAATGAGCCACCCTTCATGCACTATCTCCTGACTGGTTTTGAACACCTCCATTCCTCACTGGCGTTGGCCACGAACCTTTTAATAATCATGCATTGTTACAGAGTGCGTGGAACCACCGACAATAAGGATAGCATGCTCGTCGTTCATTTATCTATTTTTGGACGGCGCAGCAGCGATCTCACAGATATACCGACCGTCTAGCGATCTCTTCTCTTGATGATGCACAACTAATACATTAGCAACTTCCCACTACGGCCGTCCATCATTAACGCAAACACCCTCTGAGGAGCTACCGACGAATTAAACAGGAATACTGAAGCGAGACGATGACACGCAGAGACGTCCAACTATCGTCGTTGTGCCTCCATTACCACCACCATCTTGGCCACGCGTGCCAAGCCATGTTGTAGTTGTAGCTGACACATGCTTCTCTCTTTGCTTGTATCTGTTGACAAGTCCAGATTACTGTTGCACCATTCTTTACATCGAATTCTGAATCATTCTGAGAGCCAAGTTGTGTGTAACACGAAAATTTGTTTAAACTTCTTTTAAACATAAGAATCGTAATGACGCATCAAATCATATGATCCGAATGAATAGTGGTAGCAGCGTATTCCAATTGAAATTCTGTAATCTAACTGAGTGAACAATGACATTCTGCAAGATTTAACATCGATATTAATGTATTCCCTATTTCCTACACGAGTCTATGATAAATCAGTTAACCGTGTACATATATACAATTAGATGTTAGTATTAAAAGTAAATTGTGAAAATTTGTGTATTGTCGAATGACTTTTGAACCTCGTACGATACTGTTTGAAAGCGAATTACGAGCGATTGCTTTCCTGCAAATCACTATTCACGTTATCCAGGTTATGACTCGCTCGACGATCCAGAAATTTCGATTAGCCAGTGACTGAATCATACTTGTATGCTAAATAAAAACGGACGAAGTATGTATATAAACATACTTAAGTGAACAATTTATTAATTTTGGTTGTAATTTCAAGAATCGATGATATCTATGTTACAATTATCGATTGCTGTTCAAACTCGAAACTCAACAACCCAGGCAATTACGAGGCTTAATGGGTGCAGATAAGTGAAGGACAGACAAGCAATTTGCAATTCAATGCTTAACGCGGTAGACACCGATCGATATTTAAACCTATGTAGCTTTCTCTTATGACCAATAATATTCGTTTCGTCAAGGGTTGACTTTCTATAGAAAACACAGAAATGTCACATATATTTCGAATGTTATAATAGCATATTTAATATGATTTATAAAATAACGGAAGTATTGAACAATTAAAATGTTCTCAAGTATAGGTTAGGTCGAGGTTAGGTACAGTATAAATGTCTGAAAAGAAATTCTTGGGCTTTACAATACAGGTTAATAATTATGAATTAAAATAAGAAAAAACATTACAGGAACGAATTGAAAAATAACTCATAGTTAATGAAAATAAAAACTGATATACGATATGTTTATTTTTTTAAAGCGCAATGGCCGAATAATACTTGGAAGCACAAATTTATTCGAAAATGCAATTCTGGTATTAAAATAAAAAGTGAGTAAATGTAATATAAAATAAAATATGTTCGTCCTACGTCGAACAATATTAATTGAAGTACACAAAATGATGGTATGGGATATGGAATTGTTCTAATTCTTCCTATCTCGTGTGAAAGACATAAGTTGCTATGAAATTAAGAAAACTGTACATTCCGGCCAAATCATGTTAAAACGATTAATCTCGTGAATGATCCATAAATTGTTTATTAAATATTTCGTTTATTTTTCTATACAATTCCGTCACGAAGGGGCAATACCGGTGTCGCAAACCAGCTGTCAAAACGAAAATGTGTGAACGAGGGAAGATATAAAGTAGAAAATGAATAATGTAAATCCAAAATCCATTTCACACAGACGCTAGAAGACATTCGAGCGAAATGTCTAGACGCTGTTGAAAGCCGGTACAGTACAAAAAGGAGCCATGATACGCTTTTACAGATGACAAGTACCTGTAATCCCGATTCGTATATATACACATACATATATATTTACATGCATATGTATATACATAGATGGGGGTAGAAAACGAAAGATCTCGTGGATCTTAATTACAGTTTCAGTATCGATAAACCTATTCCATTGGACGAATATTGCTCTGCTTAACGTACACTCGAGAATACTACAAGCGCAGATTCCAACTTTTTTTTAAGAAACGTACATATCTTCTCTCTTGTGTATATATTATATGTCATGTACTTAGAAAACATTCTCACAGCATCACCATTTAACTATGATACTCTGTACAACACACGTCTATACATTGAGCTTTCCTCGTCGAAGGCTTCCCGATCCTCGACCTTGGTTATTATCATTTACGCTGGTACTTGCATGTGTGTTAGTTTATGGTATGTACAATTATAATGTATATAGAATATATATATATATGTACGCATGTATAAATATATATAATATATCGTATAAACACACGTATAGATCAACGAGGGACTCTGAACTTCCTTCTTTTGTTATCCGTCCAACGATATCGTTTCCAACAAGGATTTGTCGGTAGTGAAAGATAAAGCGGAAGAAGTGGCGGCCATTTCTTTTCTTCGAATTTCAGTTAATGTAGGAATCTTGAAGATATTACGAAAAGTCTTTTCTTTCGCGTTCTATAGTCTGGTGTTTGACGTCAATTTATTTGCCTTCCTCACTATCTTTTCATCATCTGTACACTTTACGTTCAAACGAATGTAAATTTCTAAGCATTCATTATTTTTCTTCTTCAAATCCATACGAAATTCAGCAAGTGTCCTAATACTTTTGAGCGAAAGTGTATACGTAACTTTAGTTTTCATTTCGTATAGTATGCTGCAATTGGTTAAGAGGATTAGGTTCTTACGTCTAAGAAAAGGAAACGAATCAAACGTAACAATAGGAATAAATAGAATGAAACACAGAGAAAGAGAGATCGAATGAAACTTAAGTTATGTTCGTTGAACATTTTAATCTTTGTTTCGTTTTTAATTGCTGTTTCGACGAGAATCTTATTGTCATCGAAGCAGCAAGAATCAAGGGGTTAATTTTCAAGTGTTCGCGAAGATTCAACACGTTGGCTACTATTATGGAATCAGGATAATATGAATTATTAACATCTTATCGCTATACAATTTAACAGTAAATAAAAATTGAAAGTAATAAATCATATTATCAAGTTGTTCGTTGGAATGACCACCGATGACTCCTGAAGACAGTCAACGCGTTAATTTCCATGTCGACTCTCCCTTGTCGCTCTTGTCGCACCAGAAAGAACTAAAATATTCAACGAAGAACAGTGGAATCAAATAAAATAGCTCTTTCTCGATTTTTAATTTATACATTTTTTTTCGACAGGTCGAGACAAGGATACACAGTGCATCGAAACGCTATAATTTTCCTATTATATCCTTGAATTTTGTCAACAAAGTATCGTATGTACAAAATCTGTGTAACAGATCGAAGTTAAATAGAAGAGCAAAGAAGCTGGAAAGAGACCGTCGTGTAAAGAGAAACAAGCAATTTTCAACGAATACGTTAAACAGAGTTAACAGAAAAACTTTAGTTCTTTCATAAGTTATAAATTGAAACACTTTATTAAGGGATTACACGCGTAATGACAGAGAATCAAAGCGGATATTCGATGTACACGCACAGATAACAAGATTGCTCTCTGTTCCTGCCCGGTAGATAAGATAAAAATAAATTCATTTTTTCCTTTAGTGGCTCTTCGTGTTTATATAAACAACTATGCAATTAAGAAATATCTCTTAAGAAGGATATTGGTCTTTTTTCTTTTCTTCGAGTACACACGTACGTATATACATATATGTACGGTATATTGTGTTGTTACGTTAAACCTGAGCTGAGAGAACAAATAAAAATGGAATGTATTTTTAAAACTTCATATTTTTTTGTTTCCTTTTTTTCTTTTCTTTTTTTTTTTAATAATAATGTAACAATGTATTCGGTTAAATATCCATGAACATCAACATACAGGTGTCTCTTATCTACGTTACAAATCGTCAAGAGAAGAAAACGAAGTACTATTTTCTTTTTCTTCCATTGTCCAAAGAATATAAAACTGTAGTAAAAAACCTAAACTCTTTGTATCTCTTTAATTCGCGCTTATACAAACCGAACTTATGTAGTTTCTTTTCTTTTCTTTTTTGCTTTTTTACAAAACGCGCTATTACAAAATAAAGCAGCGAATACACAACGAGGGATGAGGGGGGGCTAAAAGGTTCAAACGAGAGAAATAGTAACTAAAGTTTTTCCTAAGTCACTCTGCGAATGATCCTTACATAGTAGAAGATACTAAATAAACAAAAAATATTATCAACATCAATAGTATCTCTATTCTTTCGTTCGTTTTCGCTGGAACGACGAAAAATAAATTAAAAGAGGAACGCGCGCATCGTTAAATATTTTACAAGATTTATTTATCCGTGACTGATGCAGTGTTGGATCAAGATTCGAACATGGACGTCAAAAGAAAAATCTCTCCTGTGAAAAGAAGGAAAATAAGAAAATGTGAGGCGAGAGATATTTTCTTTCTTTCGTAATATAAAGTAATATAATAATATAATATTAGGAGTGTGCAAAACCAAAATTTATAAAAATACATCCGAGCTTTTAATGATACGATACAATGATTAGAAATAGGGGTAAAAAATAATGAAATAAGCAAATTTAATTAGAAGCAATGAAAATGTTTGCACACCCCTAATACAATTTTCGTTTTTATCTGCAAGTTCACGGTTCGTGCTGTTTTATTTTACCGTGAAAAAAATCGCGATATAACTATTTAAAAAAAAAAAAAAAAAAACAAATTGAATAATTATATATATATATATATATAGATCTATATATAGAGCGTTGTATCGTTCGCATCTCGTTACAATAATAAATTACTAGGAACGTCGACGTACCAAACCGACACGTGCCGTTCTCACTTTTTTCGTTCTTCGAAAACGATTTCCTTTTTCGTGATGTTCGAATGCAACTTTCTTAACACTTTATCGACAGTGCCATATAGCGCACAGTTACTTATTACACATAGAAATATAAATTGAATCTATTTTCACGAAAAGCATAAAAACTTTAGCAATCCAGGGTGAATACGGTAGAGCTCCATTTATTTGAACGAAATTTCATCGAATACTCTATCAAAAATATTTTTTCCATCAACTGGAAGTTGGTCTTCTAACCGGAAGCGTGTCGTTACCTGCACACATTTTTTATTTGACGCTGGGCTGATGTCATCGTCAAATTTGGCATCAATAAAGTGTTAAGATTTTCTATCCTCGTGATAGCTTCGGAACATCTTCGAAAAAGTGAGACTATAAGCTATTTTGTTATTTTTTTTCTTGGAAGTTTGTACAATCTTAGTTGGTTAGTTGATTAAACAAATGAGATTAATAAATAAAATAAAGTAGGAGAATTGGCACGTGTCAGAGTTCGACGGTCCGTATGAACGGTTTACTACCAAGAAAGGTATACCACTTTCAGATGTACAACACTGCCCTAAAACACAGCCATACTAAGCCAAATACTTTTGGATTTTCTGTCGTTACAAATATTCGCGTTTTATCTTTTCCCTTTTTAATTAGGAAAATTAATTCGTTTAAATCTATGGTCGGTTAGCGTCCGTATGTTTGCTTTAGTCTATTCTTCCTTTTAGAAATTTTGTGTAAAACATGTAAGGATGTACCGCACGATTTGATCGTTAAATCGTTTATTAATTGTCTCTTTTTTGTAATTTTAAAAACGTAAATCCAGAGTGTTCTTTATAAATACGAAGGAACAAAAAATAATGAACATGTAAATGGAAAAAAAATACAAAGAAAAGGATGCGACAAAGAAAGAATGTACACCGAGAGGAATGTCTTGTTAACGTTCATAGTGTTCATAATTTCGCACATAAATAGAATAAATAAACTTTAAAAAAAAAAGTACAGAAACAGTCTACGTATTTCTTTCTTGCAGAAAATGTCAAAATTTTCTTAAATCTACGTAAGAAAAAAGAATCTTCGAATTACCTTGATAATTAAAACGAAAAAAAAAAACAAGATTGATTCTAATCAAATTTATCTCGTTTATCTCAATTTTATTCTTTCTTGTCTTTTCAGTTACGGAAGAAGACGTATTCTTTTACTCGTTCGACAATAATCATTCATTTTTACGAGGTTTCTTTTATGAGTTCGAAAGGCATCGATGTGTACGTATATTGCGTGTGTTTGATTACGAGGTGTAATAAAAAGTAAAAAATTACGGGATTACCGTATCCTTACCGCGAGTTTTACTTTTCGAAAATGGAAGCCGCAACGTTAACGGAAACGCCCGCGTTTGCAGTTTCGAACTTTGTACACCGATTACGTGCCGTCGAAGATTTCTAATTATAACAAGAAAAAAAAAAGAAACGAATCGGCTATAACTTAATTACAAGATTAGTTACATATTGTACACCGTGTATTCGACCGAAATACACGATACGGACTCTCGAAATACGCGCATCGTCGCTATCATCGTTATTGTTGTTGTTGTAGTCAATCCTTAAGATCTAGCGATTTAAATAGGTAATCGAAAGAAAAAGGGAGAAAACACGTTACAGTTTTACTATGATACAGCACTGGCATAGTCACGTAGCGTCAGTATGTACGTGTAATCGTATGCGATTCTAGTGCACGGATATTTTATAGTCCATGCAATGGATTGATAAACGCGCGCGCGTACGAACGTGTGTAAATGCAAGAGAGAATTCCTTTCTCGCCTTTTTACCTCCAAATGTTTATACACGTTAACCTAATGCGCGTGAAATTCCTGGTAATAATATTAATAGTAATAATGGTAATAATATAATAATCGTAATAATAATAATAATAATGATAATAATTATTAATAAGAATCAATAATAATTATATAATAATAGTAATAATATTATTAATAATAATAAATTCATAAGAGACAGGGAAATTAATAATAATCGTTATTATTATCGTAATAATAGTATAGTATGTACAGAGCGCTTTTCACGCGAGGGTCCGATTTTTCGGGTTTACGCTTTTTTTTCGTTAGCTACACATTTTGATTGAACTGTACATGTTTGGACCCCCGATTAGAAAAACTTTGTTGTGGTTTTTGTTTTTTCCTTCTTTCATTAAAAATTAACACGATTTTATATAAATCCTCCCGTACTAATTAGCAAATAGCAGCTTGTCGTGAATTTCTACTTCTTTTTTGGTTGCGACACCGTTAATCCGCATTGTCTCGCCTGTCCTGTCAAAAAAAGGGGAGTGGAATCGTCCTTTCACGCGCGAACGATTCAGCAGATTATCCGAGGATTAATTTCTGAGAATGATCCATAAAATTTCATACCGCTTAAAAGGTACAACCTTCGGCAGCCGTAGCGAACTCTTAATAACAAATTAGCCTAAGTTAACATTACTTAACTTTCCACTAAATTCTGTTTTCCCTTCCTTACATATACAATGGTTGTTGGTATCGTGTTCTTCCTTTTCTTCTTCTTCTCAAATATCTAATCTTTTCGTTTCATACAGTTCGTATTTCTTTTGTTATATACTTTGCATCTCGTCACGATAATAATAATAGTAGTATATAATAACTGCATATAATCGCTACGCTAATAATATTTGAACTATTAATTATTAATTAACGTTAAGTATACACAACACATTTGTACGATTTCACTCAGCCTGCACGAGCAGCAGCGAGGGAAGGTGGTATTAAGATGAAAAGGTCGTATTTTAAGGGGGGGTAAAAGATAGAGGCAGCAAGGCCATTGTGTGTATGTCGCGCGCGTGTGTACGTGTGTGTTCGTGTGTTTCTGTGTGTCGCGTGTATTTACGGGAGAAAACGTATCAATAGTCTTTCTTGATTTTTACTGTAGTTTCAAATAATTATTTCTCGTCGGTTCCATCGGTTTTTTGTTCTCGGTCGAGGAAACCGAAGTTGAGGTACGAGAATACAGTAACGTAAGTTCAAAGTGTTCATTGAGCCTGCTGTAGAATCTTCACGGAGCATCTAGAGCAGCACCATTGTATCACGCTGTATTGCTCCGGCACCTTAAACTCGAAAGTTAGAAACAGGGAACACGCTTCATCCGGATTAATTTGGTCGCACCAGTTGTGGGTACTCTGACTCGTCGCGGTTGAGCATCGGAACACACAGTCGGGTCAGCGTACCGGACGTAAATAAGTTGTACCTGATCTCCACGAAGCTAGGAACGCAGAACGGATGGAGGTTACACACACTCTCTCTCTCTCTCTCCTCTCTCTCCGCCTCATGACAGAGAGATGGAATCGGGTAACCGTTTCTCGAAAACGGTTCGCGATACGAAAACGAAAAGCATCGTTTGCTCATTGACGTAAGTAGGCACTAGTATTGACCGACTTCACTAACAGTCACTACAATCCTTCGACAAATTTGGAAAGTTGGTCTTGCGGCGTCATGGGCGTCACTTCACTGGAGTCCGTGCCACTAGTAGGCGGTGGAGCTGGAGACGGATGATGAGGCATGGTACCTGGATGACCGGTCGGCGCACCTGTTCCACCACTTAACTGTGAAAGCATCATTTCGCTTGGACCACCGAGTTCGTGAGCCGGTGAATGCGTCGGCGTACCGTGAGGTGGATGATGATGAGGCGATGGTACCGGTCCTGATCGAGGGGAAGGAACTGGTTGATTACGAGGAGACGGAACCGGTCTTGGGGATGGATTTGGTTGCGGAGATCGAATAGGAGGCGGAGATCGAACGGACTGCATTAGCTGTTGCTGTACAGAGATCCCGGGTGGTCCCATCACGCTTTGCGGAGAAGGTACCGGTGGTGGAGTTGGTTTTAAACCCGGCTGACCGTATCCTTGTTCGCTAAAGCCACCGTAACCTGAGGAAGAATACGCGGAATCGTGGCAAACGTTAGACCACGAACCAACCGGCTCGACCAACCTCGTTTTCTCGACAATTAAGTGACCCTTACCGAGAAGAGACGGCCTTATTGGTCGCTGTTGACCGTAAGGAGGTGCTGGTGGTTGCGTAAATTGTTGTTGCTGCTGCTGCTGCTGCTGTTGTTGTTGTTGTTGCTGTTGCTGCTGCTGTTGTTGAGCCTGTTGTTGTCTCTGCATTACCAGCATCTGCTGTTTGTACCATTGCGATTGCTGTTGAACAGGCTGCTGTTGTTGCTGCTGCTGCTGCTGCTGTTGTTGTTGTTGACTCAGCATCGCTTGTATTTGCATCCTGCCCTGCTGTTGCTGCTGCTGTTGATGTTGCTGCTGCTGCTGTTGCTGGTGTTGTTGCTGTTGCTGCTGAGACATCATATGCTGCAAACCAGGTTGTTGTTGCGGTTGATTAGGACCCAAAGGTCCACCAATTCCTCCGCCGCCGTATTGACCACTTTGTTGCTGAAGGGCAAGCGCCTTTTTGTTAAAAAAATCATAAGGTAATAGAAATCGTCAAAACCAAGGGCGAGAACAGCAAATAATACGGTGAATGTTAATCGTCATACCCGTTGTTTAATGAAGGCAGCCATTATCGGTGGATTGCTTTTGAGTATTTGAAGTATTTGATTTTGTTGTTCAGGAGTATGAGGATTCTTAAGAGTTTGCATAAGTTGTTGCAATACGTGTTTGTGCATGTTGCTTTGAGCTTGCGGACCGACTTGACTAACCGGACCACCGATAACTCCTGGTTGTCTCGACATCGGTCCTCCCATTACCATTGGCTGTGCTTGGTGTTGTTGTTGTTGCTGTTGCATTAACTGCTGCGGCGTTTGTTGTCTTAAACCAGGATTCTGTTGCATTACTGCATTTGGCTGATACCTACTGCAAGTAAAAATATTATTTTATATCCGTATAACATCTGTATGAAACAATATTTTATTTTAAATTCCGAGACTTCCTCCATTTCTCTCATGACAGATTACCTTGCCGTCCACTGATCCATTGGAATGAGATGTGTACCGCCGGGATTTGGCATTTGGACCGACATTGGTCGTTGTATTTGCGGTGGAGGCATTACGCCACCTGTTTGTCCTGCTACGCCAACTCCAACACCGACGCTACCGCCTGGCGTTACTTTACCGTAGCCAACGTGTGGTGCCTGCTGCCTTGCAGCTTCTTCTTGAACTTGCTTCACGACCTGAAGAACATGCGCGGGCGGTGTTTGCGTGCCCGGCTTTAAACCGATTCCAGGCTGATGCGGTGAAGGTAGATTGGTAGGACTAACTCCTGGTTTCATAGCAACACCGGTTGTCATAGCAACGTTCGAACTCTGTTGCCCGGATTGAATTGCTCCTACAGGACCTGTAGGTCTGGTATTCATCACAGCCATTCTTCTCCTATGATAAGAATATTTTATGTCGGTTTAGAACACGTGGACAAAGTGGAACAAAGTTAGAACAAAGTGGAATTTAATTCTTAATTATGTTATTCTGTTACTCGTTGATAACATTATCATACCTTAACAATTGCGCTTGTTGTAACCGTTGTTGAAGTTGTTGCTGCTTCAACTTATGTTTGATATTAGAACAGAATGGAACAAGACATTTAGTCTCTTGGCAGTGTTTAGCGTGATAACAACAAAGAGCTATCAATTGTTTACATATTGGACAACCACCGTTTGTTTTTCGTTTACAAACTTTCGTGTGTTGCACTACTCTCTTCATTTTCTGACAGCTAGTTAGACGACAGTTAGCATCCCTGCATTGACATGCATGTACCAACGACTGAATACATCTTTGTATCGAAAGTTTGCGCGCCTCCTGTTAATACATTGAAACACATTCATAGTATTTATTTGCAGTAATACTTCTGATATATTTAAATTCGACGAAAAGAAAGTATTTTACCTGTGGGTTTGCTTGCTTGGCATCAGCTGGCGATGAATCATCATCTATACCTAAACCAAGTTTCTCCATATGATGAGGATGACCATCTTTTTCTTTACAACTTATACACAGATCAAAATCCTGTTGAGATAATAACAAAAAATAGAACGTTAAATTTATCTTGAAAAAGAAACATGAAAAATATATAAAAGTGAATGTTATAATACTTACATCACAAACCGTACAGTGATATCTTGTTTCTACATGATTCTTACAGTTATTACAAGTATAAACGAAACCTTGGTTGTGCAATTCGTATAGCATGGACATGGAACTAAATTTCGCACGCCGTAAGGAAGAAAATTCATAATGCCTTTCCTTAGCCATTGTAAGAAAAGCATCGCGACCATCCATAAGGTCACAATTAATAAGGGGATCAGGATCCTGAATTGGCTGAAATTTATTTAATGCATCGTTAACGAATGTATGTATATATATATATATAAATACCAACATATTATTTTGGAAACTTACTGCTAAACTGGCTGCACTTTGAGCGCTATGCAACCTAATGACAAAGAATACTTCCTTATGTTTCTCCATG